AGCAGGCGAAAATAACAATTGAATTGGTAATTAATAGATTAGATTTTTGAAACACATCAATAGCGAGTCATAAATGTCGATTTTTTGGGGGAAGTACCACAGGCGAGGCCGTTGCCACGCGTTATCTAGATCTCATCATGTAAAGGCATCCATGCAGAACAAGAGCAAGAAAGTTATGTTTACCTTTACGGTCCGTACGTGCCGTAAAACTGCCAATTTCAGTTTACCTACTTGCATAAACATCCATCATTAATAATGAACTATTATAATTTATGGCCAGCCGCAAAGTACTAACTGTAGATTCATACAAATTTTTCAAGTCGGACGAGAAAGTCGCGTTTCAAGTTAATTATCTATTTTTAATTAGCTCAATCCCCGTGGAAATCTGCCATGTACATCGATTATCTTCAAGCTACTTGTCTTGGAGATTTTTTAATTAATAACTGAAATCTCGCAATCAGTAGCGGTGTGTATTTTTCAACAAGTTCATTTACTAAAACGAGTATTTTTACTGCCCTGTCAACAGTACCGTTGAATACTTAATTCATGGTGTTGTTAAATTTAAATCTTGTTATAACCGACAATGACCAAAACCCGGCTTGGGACGCCCACAAGGCTCGCGAGGCGCCGCTGTTGATTTTTCGCGGGGAATAATCCCATTGATTCGCATGTCTGAGGACAGATTACTCATGTCATATAATTAGATGAGGATGTAACGAGAAGGTTGAGCCAATTTTTTAATTTTTTTTGACGTGACAGAGCAAGGGTCCAGAAGTTCAGACAGTACAACGTCACAATCAATTTCGATTTCGAATTATATCTGGACATGCTAAGAAATGTTATCAGAATTTTTTAAAAATCTCCGGCCGGTACATTGTTTAAAAAATTTACGAACTAAGTTACACAACATTCTAGTCGCTGTTGCAACCAGAAAATATTCTTGCTTTTTGTTCGTTAATAGCCGAGAAGATCTCAACTGGCACACATTGACTGCTTAGAATGTTCATACAAATATTACTGTGATAAGGTTTAACTTGTGAAATAACTGCAATTTTTCTGAAAAATGTAATTTGCATATTTAATACACCAAACGAGTACCTACTAAAAGAATACCTACCAAATATGTACGCATAGTGTAAAGTACTTTTTAACATAAAAGGTTTTATGAGGACTAATTGTGGTCTTAAAACTTCCGCTTAAAATATTATGTTCATAATAAAATCATGTATGTAAAAATTCATAGGGTGTGACAATGAAAACTGCCAGGGTATACACATAATAAATTAACAAATTAAAAGAATTTATGTTTCCTTATGAAATTTAATTTTTACGTTTAACCATTAAGCTTGAACTTAAAATTTAAAACATATTCCCACAGACAGTAACTTGAAGAATAGCTAAACAAATGTTGAAAAAGACGGAAATTTTTTCATAACGTGAAATAAAAATGCCTTCTTTTATTTAAATATTTCAAAGGTGACCGATTCTGGAATTTTAGATAAATTTTGCTGTAATTTCCACAATTCAACCGCACAAAGGAATCCATTGTTGCATTATTTCGCATTGTTGGAAATAAATTAACGGAAGCTTAGCACGCTTCGTTCTAAAAATCATCATTAAGCGTCGAGCGCCTGCCTCCGAAGCTCTATTACCTCTTTCTTGCATAAAAATCCGATCTGATACAAGTTAAACGAGATTCCATCCGCGAACCGTTACGGTTGCCACAAACATCTAAATCAATAAAACAAAAGAGCCAAATTAAGCCGAACCATGACCATGTATGTCGACCATATGGGAAGCGTGACCGTTGGGTGATGAACGACAGAAAAAAATTACACCTTGCTCGAGGAGACTCGACTCAATTGGACAAACATTGACAAAAAATTTGAAAAATTCGAACTAGTTCGAGGAGAAAATCGAGCTAAAAACCTGTAATGTTCTGCGATTGTTGCGCGATTTCTCAGATAACAGATCGTTCTCATTCTTGGCGTGTTGGTAGGCCTGGTTTCCGATGGAAGAAATCAGGTGGATATGTTTCTAGATCTGCAAGAGTAATGAATATGTGAAGTGGGACGCACCCTTAAGGCGCGTACCACGATTTCGTAATTCAGTGCTAAAAATGGACAGAGGAAAGTGTTTACTGTTCAAGGAAACACAGCGATTATGAATTGTTTTGATCAGAGGGATTAAGTTGCGTAAATTGTTTGGGCTTAGGTGCCAAAACTGGCACACTTTGGTGGCGGTGTTTCTCAAATAAGATCATTATCGGAGGCCAGAGATTGCCAAATTTTGGGTATTTTTGGGACAGGAATGCTGCCATGACACCTTCACAAAGTGAGGTCCTATTTGATTAACACTGTTTTGATAAATTGTAAGCAATTGCGAATTTCGTGTCAGTGTCGCATCCTTTCTCTTCGCAAAAGATTTCGTCAGTTTTTGTCTTCTGGCATTACCGGGAAATAATAGCGAGTCACACAACAAAATTGCCAAGTAAGCAATTGCACTCAACAATCAAACACATGTTACAAATGAAAAGAAAACATGGATCAAAGGAGGAACGCGTTCCTCTATAACTTGCTGGAAATTGGCACGTTGTTGTGGCTGTGAGTAATAATTATTAGCAACGGTTTCGAAAAGCCGGTTATCAATGCAAAAAGAAAAAATAGATGAGAAAAAGTGATACATGTGCCGTGCGATGGAACGTGAAGAAGTATAGAAAGTGGAACTACATTAATGACTAATACTGGCAAATCTTCCAAAAAGGTCGTAAAAAAACATAATTGCAGAACAAGAATACTTGGCGTTATTGATTATAAATATTCGTCTATCTGAACCGGAAACAATTTTTAAAGCCGAATTCTGTGGGAAAAAATGTCGGGAATATAGGACATCGAAATGATGTTTTATTGTTTTGTGTTAGTATTTGTTTGTCTTCAGGCATTAGCTATAGATCATTTGTGCTAGGAAGTATATGCATTGTTCAAAAATAGCAATTATTTCGGTGTGTGCCATCTAACTCCAAAAATAAAAAGCAATTACCGAAAATGTGTTCAACTGTTCACCAATATCATTACTTCATGTAGTACTACCTACTACAAATTATTGGCTTCCAACGTTATACGTTACCAACATTTGTTTTAAAAACTTATTATATCTCTCATACAGTACTTGAAAGGGCTATTCATCTAGTCTAGAATAAAGCAAATGGAGAAATACTAGAATTTATTTCATTTCAATTGTTATTACATTTGGTTTCTAAATATGTTTCTAGGTTTACACTTAAAGAGAATGTATCTTTTAAGAGGATGTCAATTTTTCCTATTCATTACAGGTAATTAATTTAACACATGTAATACACTTGGCAATAATGTTGTAGCCAATTTTTATCTGTTGTTGGACCAACAGTTGAAAGATTCCTGCCACGTTATATACTCGACAAAAAAAGTGATGAATAGAATGTTTTGATGTTGTAAAAAATATACCACAGTTTTATTCTTGATAGTTTTTGTCAATGCTAGCGACGAGTTGTTGAGTTTTTCACATTTCCGGGATAGAAACGTCTTAATTAAAACTGTTTACAAGAAATTGTTAATATTTAAAGACATAAAAACGCATTTTCTGTAAATGCATTTTCTAAAGGTAACAAACAGCAGAATTAAAATTTTTACAAAAATCATTCTGGATCAGTTTGCCTAAATTTACAGGTTTATTTTCACTCTAAGTACAATCTACATATTCAGTAATTTTTTTCTATAGGTACATTTGACCTTGATTATAGACAGCAATATTCTTTTATATACCTTATTCAACGGTTGGCATGAATCTCAATCAATTTTAAGAATGAGTATTTTTTATAATTTACTAATATTATGAATAATCTCTTAATAATTGCCATGTAAATTAATTGTTTACGAGCATTTTTACTTTTTTAGACAAAAAATAGGGTCCTTGGGAGTCCCCAAGCAAACTCGGTTTCGATCCGTTGAACAGTGTCTGTTACGCGTCTGCTCATATGGTTGAACGAACATCCAAAACCCATCTTTTTAATATCATGAACATAATTGTAGAAATGAAGAAATTATGAAAAAGTTTAAAACTAGTCTCCGTGTAGTTCCTTGTACATAGTTGTAGTAAAAATACTGAACGTTTTCAAATGCGAATAAATTATTGAATTTTCCTATTCCTACTAGAAAGTCCAAGATTTATTCCGATTCCACTTCCTTCTTCCTCTTGCCATCTATAACTTCCTTGTCCAGGGCTTGGTTATTCCCTAGACTAGGAAGAAATTACACTTCAAGTCCAGATTCCGATCAATTTCCTTTCAAGGTTTTTAATCCAAAGCTATTAATTTTAATAGCCGCCATTAACCATGAGAAAAAATGACAGCACGATGCGTTAATCGCATATAAATCGAACCGATTTGTTATAAGATTGTTAATAAATTAATAAGCGTCGGCTCTTTGTACTCCTCATTACACAAATTTTTACAGACTCGGCTATTGTGGCGGTTTTTTTTTCGTTCGGGAAAACACTGGAAAAACGTGTTCTTTGTTGTATTCTCGACGGATGTGACGATCGTGTCGGCATGGCCTTGGCTAATTCTTTCTTCAGAGATGCGTATCGAATCTGAATCGAAGAGGTTTTCTCTAAATTATGCAAATACGGCGAAGTCCATGTGACTTAAGTCGGGAGGGGATCGCGGCTTTTGTTCCAATCTGGTCGATAGCGTTTCCGGTGATTACCAGACCCTCTCGTCATCTCTCATCCAGCAGAAAATGAAATTCTCAACTCCTCTCAAGCGAACCGTTTCTTCCTTCTTCACTAGACATGCATCTCGCGTACGCACTTGCATATTAGAAAATAGCAAATCATGGCAGGCGGTCTACATCGCAATGGCGCTTCAATGGTCGCTCTGTATAGGTCACTAACCGCTCCGCAAGGTCGTGCTGTATCTTACTCCATCGCACCTTTAAGAAGTTTGATAGAGTTTGCTTTTGTAGGGCACCGACTTTTCCTGGGGCAGTCCGAGAAGCCGCCGAGCGATGAGTTCCGGAAGCCTCTACAGAGGTTACACCGGGCCTAGGGCCTAGCAATATGCGGGAGGAAGAACTGGAGGTGGCCCTCAAGGTACGTGCGATAAATATCGCCACGATGAATTATTCAAACTTAGGGATAGGCTCGGTCTACGCACCGCGAGTTCTGATTTATCGGCTCTATTGTCTGCGTTTTGTTTAGGTGGTGATCGTGGGCAATGGTGGAGTGGGCAAATCTAGCATGATCCAACGATATTGCAAAGGCACTTTCACAAAGGACTACAAGAAAACGATAGGAGTTGATTTCTTGGAAAGGCAAATCGAGTAAGTCACATTTTTTACCTATCACAAACACGCAACTATTGCTAATTTAAAAGTATAAATGAGGCGATATTGAATTCATTGGTGGTTGCTGATATTATTTCCGGTCGAGACGGTAATTCACCCGGCGCATTCGCCAATTGTCACTTAATTACCATAATACTAGTTTGATGCATATGAAATGATCGATTTTTAATTGAGACGTTTTGGATTAGAATTAGTAACCTAACAATTATTTTTATTATGGTTAGAGTTGATGGCGAAGAAGTTCGCTTGATGCTGTGGGACACCGCGGGTCAGGAGGAGTTCGACGCCATCACCAAAGCCTACTATCGGGGAGCCCAAGCCTGTGTCCTTGCATTTTCGACGACTGATCGGGACTCGTTCGAAGCAGCGCATTCATGGAAACTTAAGGTGAAGTATTTCGTATGTGAAGTGTCAAGTATAGCACTCTCTCTGAAATTAATCATCGACAATGACTGTGCTGTTTGTCTGTGCAAATAAAACGAAAAGAGTTAACGGGTCCCTGCCGAGTGTTTAATATTGAAAGTAATTTCGTTGTTGATTTTTAAGCTGTGTCATTTTCGCCGTCTGCTTATAATAAATGTGTATTTATTTTACAGGTTGAAAACGAGTGTGGCGAGATTCCTACGGTCATTGTACAAAACAAAATCGACTTGATGGACCAAAGCGTCGTCAATCCGTAAGTGCAAAAAAAATGGATTTGATTTATTCTACAGTATCTCAATCGTATGTATGCTAATGAAGCAGAGATATCGCTATGTGTGGCATAACTCAGATTATATCTCCTGATGTTCATAAAGCCGTAAACGTCGGTTTATGGACTTGGAACGAGAAAAATACGCGACTTTGTATGCACTTACCAACAATTACCTTCAGAAAAGTCGCTAACTGCTCTGCCTTTGCTGTCATCGGGTGAGATTTATGCCTCTATTAGCATACACAAAAATGACAATTTTATCATTGGTCCAAAAACTGTACTAACGGTATTTCTGATTTGCATATCCCGTCCCGTTTTGTATAGAAATGGCTAATTTAATTAACCGATTCACATTCCAGTGGAAAAACAACAAATTATGCACTTGCTCCTTCCACACATAAATCCCTTGACCAAAAATAGGAGTAAGTCACGGAAAAGCGTCGGCACGCGATGCGGTTCAAGATTTATGGGGTTAAAAGTGACCTCTTTGACGTCATTTATTCTTTTATTTCCAGAGAAGAAGCTGACCTTCTTGCCCGTGCCCTCGGCTGTCGCCTGCTCAGGACGTCGGTGAAAGAAGACGTCAACGTCGCTGCTGTTTTTCGACACTTAGCCGCGAGGTGCCTTGCAGAACTCAGAGATCCGCGAGATTATGACTATTTCACTACGCCCACACCTCACCACCCCAATTCGCTCACAATCAGTAAGTCTCCGAAAGTGGATTTATTTCTGACTTATCACTTTTTCCAGGTGCCTTCAGCCCTAGTCATTCTTCCAAAAACCACAATGGAACTATAGTTTTGAGACCCAATAAGCACAAAAAAAAGAAGAATGTCTTAAAGAACGCTTGTCGGATATTGTGACACTCTCGATTCGTTTATTAGACTTATTGTCTCGTATTGCCATTACTGAAAACTTATGTAAAATATTGTTTGTGTGTTAATTGACTGATTTTCTAAGCCCGTATAGGCCAATTGGTGAAGTGCTAATATTAATTTAATTTTTTTTAACAAAACCGGTTTATGACGTAGTACTGAGGATCGTGCACAAGAGGCCACGGAATACGGGTTCCTAAGGCCGTTCAGTGTGAATATTTTGTAGCTAATAGTTGTATGTTTGTAACAATTATTCAATAAAAAAAAAATAGTACCAAAACAAACCTAGGAAAACCCCGACTTTTTTTAAAACGGAATTACAGATTCCTGTAATTAGGAAAAAAACACATTTTTTTAGGAATCTAAGAAATTTATTAAGACGTATGTTTACATAAGACATTGTTATCATAAAGTGTATAAAAAGTACATGAAAATATATCGTTTATGCATAGGTAATTGTTATGTGATGATAATGATACAGTCGAGTTAAATAAGTTGGGCGTCTAATTGTTACATTTGAATATTATGTTGTTTACACTACATTAAAAGTGGAATCTGTACATAGGAATCCTAGCTAAATGACTGATTTCTTTGATACGTCGACATAGTACGTTACTATAGCTCAAATCTTATTGAAACAAACTTAAAAATTAACAAAAATTTAGTAGAGCAGTTATTATTTAAAAAACTCTTTATACTATTATATCCCACACCAACTTAAATAAATCCTTACACAAAAAATAATTATTTGCACTTCATTACCATCAGATGACTTCTGTTTCTGATTATTTTGCACAAATCGGACAAAGTCCATATTGCACAATTATTGTTAAAAGCTTTTCTTTTATAACTTAAATTATTATTATTCTTAAATATCTAACAACAATATAACAATGCGTTGTTTCGACCACTTTAACATATAATCCTGATACTTTAAAAAATACAGTACTGAACACAACGATACATTCCTATAATTTAAAAAAAACGAAAAATTCTTGATACCCGTAACTCTCTTTGTGCCACACTTTTTCAACATTTTTTTAAGAAAATATAAGCTCTAGCGCATCTATATTTCTAGAGAATCTAACCTACTTCTAATTAGTCAGCCATAAATTCACAGCAAATTTAGAATATCTATCACAACTGCGAGATTTTTGTACCTTAAGTAACATGTAACATTACCTAAACTTTGGTGTAAGAACCTAAACGAAAAAATACTGCAATCATGTACTGACTCATCATGGGGCTCTTCCTAGCTGCCATCGCTGCTGTTACTATTGCTGTCTTCGAAATCAGGGGCACTGATTCGATGAACATTGCGTATCTCTTCTCTCCCCCTAAACCTAGGTACTTTGGGATTTTTCGGTAAAAGTGTTGGTAATTCGGTCACATTTTTGATTACGTAATCCGGCCTGGGGTCGTCATCCCCAATATCGATTGAGTTTAAAGGCACCCAAACCGTTCCTCCCAAATTCGCCTTCAATCCCCCCAGAATGTCGGTCTCTAACTTATCACCTACCATGATGCATTGCTGCGGTTGGACTCCCAGATATTCGCATGCTAAATTGAAAATCTGTCTGTGGGGCTTCTCCCATAGGAGGTCTCCCGAAACTAGCACGACATCGAAAAAACTTTCAAGATGCAACAGTTGGATTTTTTCCCATTGGGCCCTCGACGTGCCGTTTGTTATCAAGCCGACGAAGTAGTGTTGGCGCAACTTTATCAGCAAATTCTGAACATCAGAAGACAAAGCTAGATTGTCGTAACGTAACTGTAACCATATCCGATACACTTCCCCTGAAATAAGATATACGAGTTAGGGTCGGAAAGAATGAAACACATTCAATATGGTTATCGTTTGTTTTATTTCATATTTGGGTCAGAGAAAAAGAAATATTCCGCCGCGTAATGCTACTACTAGGTGGAGAACAGCCCCACCTCGAAATTTGTAACTTTCAATTGTTCGATCATCTTTTAATTGTTTGCCTTGATGGATGAGCCGTTGTTGCTCTGGCGGAATTCCCTCGCGTTCCTCTAGTTTTTCTTTTATTGTTATTATCTTATCGGTAGGTTCAACGTCTATTTGTTTCTCTTCACCGGTCAACGTCACCACTTTTATTAGCATTTTACAAGAATTAGATACACGGACAATTTTGATGAGGAAGGACAAAACGACAAGAAAGTGTCATTTTTGACAAGTGGTGACTTAATTGTTGGTACCATTTTGTATTTTTATATCTACAATGATAGACACGGAATTTTGAACATCAAATTTATGTCAGTTCAAAAAATGTCACTATGATTGTCGTTGAAACCAAAATTTAAAAGTTTTAGTTGAAATTCATTTTTGGCGTCGATTTTCCGAAACAATAATGCCATGTTTTCATATAAATTCAATGAATTATTTGTTGGCAATTTCTCTCTAGCTGTCAGAATAAAAATTATAAAAACCGAAAGTAAGGCTAGTTGCATAGGGTCCGTTTTACATTTTTGTCAGTCGAATGACAAATCGTCCAAAGTTCTGTGTCCGCAATTGTATTAATCAGTCAATGACCCTTAAATGATTTTTATTTTGAACATTTGCCCACTCATACGAGTATCATAGGTCAATGTTTTTGTTTTTAAGATAATTGAAACAAATTCAAAACTAATAGCAAAGCATAATGTAGCGCCACCATGAAGTATTTTCGCATAAAAATTGAACATCATTAATTAAATTTGTATTTAAATATGTATTTGAAAACTTAAAAACACTTAGCATTTATATTATTTACAGATGTTTTAAGTTTAAATACTTAAAGCATAATGTAGCACCATTTGCAACCATGAATTTTTAAATGAAGTATTTTCGCATGAATATTTCAATAACACCATTAATTAAATTTGGTACTTAAATATGTATGTAGGTACTTGAAAACTTAGCTTTTATATTATTTACAGATGTTTTAAGTTTAAATACTTGCTTTTATTTTTGTTATCTTAACATTCATATTTTTTTGATTTTTTTTATACAGGGTGATTCTTAAATAGACCGACAAAATTTTATCCTTGGTAGTATAAAATGAGAACATGCTGGAACAAAATATTTAAAAAATTCTTTGTTTAACCGTTTTCCAAATAAATTATATTAAAGTTATTTTTGAGATAAAGCGTACGCCACTGATGTGTTCATAAATAGTATTAGCACAGGTAGTGGAAACCATGGTATTAATTTGATAATAATGTACTTGATCATTGCAACAATTCATAAACGCCGTAAGCGGCACGGATAAAGGGGGTTTTGCCCCTAAAAGATATAAACGTAAAAAGGGTACAGTTTGTCTTCATTTATCCTTGGAAAGCTGTAATAAAATTTTGTCGGTCTATTTAAGAATCACCCTGTATAATCTAAATACTTGCTTTTTCTATGGACTTTTTATTTCTGAGTATTTTGCTTGATTTTATCAAATCTTCAAAATTTGGAGTGTATAATAAAAATACTTACATTATTTAATACACTCGTTCAATTAAAAAGCGTAATTTAAATGAAAATGGATCACCATAAAAAGTCCATAAACAACAATGTTGGAATATGCTAGGAAAAACTTGAAAAGTTGCCTGTGCCAAAATAAATATTTCTGGGATAATCAAACTCCTACGACATAGTTGAATCCTATTTAATCCGGTTTATTAAAACAAAGTTTCGTCAAGTGATCCGCTTACCTGCATACTTGTTGTACTGATCCCCCAACGCCTGAGCCCAAAGTAGCCTCCTCCACGCATCCAAACTCATCGATAAATTCTCCGGACATTTCCTAAAAGCCCTCAAAAACGCTTTCGAAGCATTCGTTGCTAAATCAATTGGGACAGACCATTTCTCCCACAGAATTTGCGGCAGCTACAAAAAAAAAACGTCATAGATACCCCATATTAATAGCTGTCATGACTATGCGTAAATTATTTTAGATACATCTACTGTTGCCAATTCCACCCACTTATCCCGAAATAAAACCACGTCTCATCGACAAATACATTTATTTAAATATAATACAAAATCGATTATTTCGTATAAAAATCAAACAAAAAAATGCATTAAAAAGCACAAACGCACAGATTTAATCCCCAAACAACTTCTTCCCTAATTCCATCAGTCTGTGGTTCCGACAAACTCTCAAAGCTTCAGCTTTTTTCAAAACATCGGTAACACTCTCATTGGCGTCGACCAAATGGCAGAGAAAATCTTCATAAGCCGACTTGACATTCGGTGGAAGAGTTCCAATTTTGACTTTCTTCAAAGTCTGGACGATGCCTTCAGCCCAACCGCTCTCAATTGCAAATTCGGAAATCCATGGGATTTGAGCGATGACACCTGACATGGTTTGCATTCCCAAAAACCAAAGTTCCATAAGCTCCATCCAGTGTTCTTTATAAGCCATCGAAACAACCAAAGCGGTCGGATCATTTGACTCATCAATGATATACGCATCCCACAAAAATCTAATAGTCGCTTGAATGTAACGACAGATCGAAAAATCATTCTTCTTCACTTTATTTGAAAGCTGCTTCAGCAACAAAAGACCCAAAACGGCCAAATTCCCGTGAAGAACGAGATTCTCAGGAATATCCTTCAACTCCGGCAAATTTTCAAAAATAAATTTGAGCAAATCGTTAAAAACTTCACTCTCTTCGACATATTTCGTTTCCAATACAGTGAGATTCATCAATACGTTACACGCGCTGATCATAGCGGTCCTCGAATCTTCCATTTCGGCCAAAATTTCAGGAGACAATTCTTGTTTTGGTTGGTTTAAAACTTTCAAACGTTCGGATCGTGGAACCGGGGGACGCTTATAATGGACAATGCTCCAATGAAACTGTACTAAGTCAACGAGAACTTTATCTTCATTGTGTTTCAAGATAATGGCACGAGCGGCATCCTCCACGGCCAAGTGACAAAGACCCGGTAAAAGGATCCTTAAAATATCCACAGAATTAGCAGGATTGGTTTCACTTTCAATCCCTGCCTTCTCAGCAACTCTTTTTGCCTTATGTGCGTTGAAACTTTCATTAGCGACTTCGAGAACGAATGGTAAGAGTTGGTACACCTGAGTGCGTAAAGCGGACGTTTCCTGTGCTAACCAGGCTGCCAAAACTCTAATCGTAGCATAAACAAACCATTTTTCATCTCCCGAAGGTTTATTCTTATCAGCAGCCACTTTTAATAATAGATTTATAATAGCAGTGAATGCTCCTTTCAAACCAGTATAAAGCGTCTGCTTCTCTTTCTGGTCCAAGTCTAGTTGATCCGTTGAAATATAATTAATTGACAATTCTAAAATAATGTAACAAGCCGTGACGAGATTTCTTTGGGCGGTTGCAGCTTTAAGACTTTTGCCGTCTAGTTGCATTCGAACTTCAATAGCTGCCAATTGTATTAGTAGCAAGAAAAATTGTTTGGGTTTCTCCTCATCGGACATAGCCCACTCGACTCCTAAAGCATCCAAAACACTCGACGCCAAAATTAAAGCAGGATTGCGTTGCTGGGGGCCAATTTTACTCTGAAGAATATCAGTGAGACCTTTGTAAAGACTCATAGGCCAAGTCTCCTTATCCGCAGTATTCACAATCTTCTTGGGACAATTAAAAATCAAAGCGTTGAGTACTTGACATAATTCGAATTTTCGTTTATCGTGATCTGTTTCAAAATCGACTGCGATTTTATTAAGCAAATTATGGAAAGTTTGTGGATTATTTTCGTCCCAGCTTTTTACTCCCAAATTGCTGACTAGAACGGCCAAAATGTTCAACGCTTCGTCTGACTGAAAACTCCCTTGGGAGTAAATCTCGCTCAGCTTTGCGATACCCCCGATTTCGATTAAGGCTTGTTGTCCCGGAGGGTAGCTTGCGATGCCCTTGAGACAGTTGTATGTCTCTCCGACACTCATAAGATCCTCGTCGTCGGCTTTTTGTACAATGTCGAGAAAAACGGGAACGTTAGCTAACATTTCGGGATGAGTGGCTAACTCTTCCTCGTTGCAGAAAACGGTGAGGATTGAGAGAGCCACCGATTTGTAGATACTGGGTGGACAATCGACGGGGACGTCATCGGTGAGTAGAAGACGTTTGATGAAATCGAAACCGATAGCTTCGAAGATGGCTTTCTTCGCCACGGAGTTGCAGTCTTTACCTTCGAATATAATCGAACATAAGATGCTATTTTCATGGTAACACAAGAAATTAAGTTATCGTTTAAGAGATAACAATGTTTTGTTACAGAAACAAGATACCTTTAACTTATTTGTCCAAGATAGGCCTACATACATGAGTCAGAAGTTAACAATGCGACAAGTAATAAACGATAACTTATTTCGGTAGTTGTTTACAATTTGGTCAAACGTTGAAACAGTGTGTTTTATTTTAGAAAATTCTAGTTAAATTACTGTTGGATGAATATGTAAATATATTTTGCAATAAACAAAAATACCAACATCCGCTATCAATATAACTTGCAAAAACACTCTCTTGCCAAATAATGACTGTCAGGGCAGGCTGCATTAGTTACGCATCAAAACGGAAATGCCGGTATTGCTGTGTGTAATTCAAATATTAGCAGCAGTACGATTATAAATTTATACAAACGTTTATTTGTGTCAAAAAAAAAGTTACCGGTATTTTAGAACGAGTTAAATATGCAAATATAATGGCTATAAAGTATTTAGTAACTGCAAATTGTATGAAACCAAAAAAAAAAATCCACACACATAAAGAATGACCAAGCTACTGATTAATTAAAAGTAATTACAGTGATTAAATAATTAAATAGTAAGCAGGCTTCGATTATAAAAATTCATCCTTTTAGACTCTAAAGAATAATAAAAGTAGCGAAAATAAACAAAGACACCATTTTCGCAATGTACAGTTGGTTGCAATAAAAACGGAAAATAGAATTTTCTTTAGATTGAAACAGGTTTTGCCCTTGTCAATTTAGTTGCAAATGTGTCATTTGTCGCATTCAAATATTTTTTTCTGCAATGCCGAGAGCATCAAATATGCAAATCAAGATAATCAATTAGTTAAGTACTTACGTGAAAACCCAATGAGTAGTGAGTACTACAGATTAACTGTAAGTTCTAACTTAACCTTTTAGAATTAAGCTATGTTCAAACTATGGATAAATATAAAAATCTGACATTTTTATGCTTAAACATTTTCCGATTTTTTCAATCAATTATTTGTTTTGTTTTTAGTGATTTCAATGATTGAAAAAAGTTCCGATCTATAGCTAAAAAACTATTAAATATGTGGTAATGCATTTCCTAATTTCCATTCCTTATTTTTGTCTTTGATTTGTTATTGACTTATTGGATAGTATGAATAAAGTGTAGCAAAAGCTTTTACTATAGTTTTGTTTCTTTCTTTCTCATAAAATCTAAATTACGTCTATCTTTTGCTATTACCTATAAGTAGAACCATTTACTTAACTTTATCCATACGACAAATTGTGTATGAAAACTAGAGTAAGGAGAATTACGAAATAAGTAAAAAAAAATGTTAAAAACTGGCATGAGGAAATATAGTGAACATTTCTTATTGATTATTATTTTTATTCTAGTGTATATACATTACTTTAACATTAACACTGATAATTTGCCAATAAAAAATGATAACAAAATTAACTTCTTTTGACTTGTCCTTGACAATGAATAAATACAGTAATTAGCAAAAACATGGCAAAAACTTTTACCACCCAACAAATAAGAAATTATTGTTAAATGCATAAAAACACAAAGTACACATTCGTTGTACTTATTTGTATACATATCTCATTGTAATCTACATATTTTTTGTGCATAGTCGTACACTTCCACGTTTAAAATCAGTTCAGCACCTATTATTTTATTACTTTTTTCGTAAAAAACCCTTGCTTCGTCATAACCAATTATTAGCTTACAATATCTTCATTTTACAACAAAATCCCTATATAATCAATTTTTCACTTTTGCGAATATTAACAAAAATTAAACCCAACATCGTTTGAATTGTTCCATTTGTAGATAGTGTTCAATAATAAAAGAATATTATTGGTAATCTTGATGATTAAGAAAATAATTTTTTTGTCTAAAGGTGTTAATAATTTGGCAACTACAACTGTGTTACTTTGCCAAATTGATAACCTGCATTTTAAACGCGCACCTGAACTAAATTACACATCATACTTGGTGAATGTATGTCTAAAAATAGCTCTACTGGTAAAAGTCTAAACAAGCCTCTCATTTCTCGTTTCCTTTTCTGATGTTAAACGTCAATTTTGACATTTCATCCCGAACCAATCAACGACATGCTTTTCTGAAACTTCAGCTAAATGAAAAAAAAACATACTGATCCACTAAAATTTCATGTAAAGGCAAATATATCAACGTTTGACCATGTTACACCTCTTGTAATCAATTTCTTGTATCGTTACCACAACGTTGCCTCATCTGTACATAACCTACCTTTGGCCAACTTGGTGATCATAAATAAAGCGGCGAACTTCTCCGTGTCGCTGTTTGTGTTCTTCAGAATATTGATGCACTTTTTAACAGCATCGGAGATTTGCCCCGCCATTGTTTCTCACAGGAGGCCCCTAGCACTACTGCGCCGCTTGCATGCGAAGCGTCAAGGTTATATTTAGTTACAGCGTCTCGACGCTTTCTAAATTCGGTAATTTTTGGTCGTCTCGTATCACTGGCACTATTTTTAGTATTCCAGTCGTTGACTCCTGCATGGAGCGTTATACACGTGCGACGATTCACAAGACAGCCCCCGTATGGCGGTCACGCGCATGCGTCCGTACGTCAAAAACAGCTGATTGGGACACTAATCGCTAAATCACGTTTCGCATTTTGGGGCCAAAGCCGGCTTACACGCTACCAAAGGGGATAAAGGGCAAGGAGGCTCACCTGACAGCACGTTTGCTTGTCGGCCTTCCGGGTGGCGATGAGGGTGTTGTCCAGGTCGAAGAGGATGGCGGATATTCCGGGGCGTCCATTTTCCATGGCTCGGAGTGCCAGCGGGGCATTAGAAGGGCCTGAATGGTTTAGAATGCACTCCGGATATACTTCACCCCGCAATATGTCATGGAAAGACAGAAAATGGACATCACGACCTCCCAGGCCCCCCTCTACTACAATGGATCCGAACCGATGAGGTCATCGGATGTTGTCACGTTGCGCGAGTCACGTGACTCCAGGAAAATTCCACTGGGGGCTTTATTTATAGAGTTTCTGCTTGGGGAAATAACGGTTTAATTCAGGGTGAAGCAAGGGAAAAGTGGAGACGGTAATAAATGACATAAATTCTTATTCGTCGCCCGCCACGAAGAACGCTCCCCTTTGCGTGATAACTTATTGAATTTTCAATTAACCAAAATCAGAAAGAATCGGAATTGTTAAAAAAATGAAAATGCTATAAATTAATAATTGTACCGCTGAGTTAAAGCATTACTCAGCAGAATCAGGTTTTCCGCGCTTTATAAAGACTTCCGTTTCGCCGGTCGTGGTAATTAATTAACAAAAAGCATTTCCGGTTAAACTGCTAGTAACCGCCGCCGCAATCCGCGTCCATTACTAACATGCCCTTGGTAATAATAACTAAATGAATAATTTATAGTAACACACCCTCATTATAATTTCAATATTCGACCCTCAAATCAGTCAATTCCACCGTTTGATGGAATCGTGCAACTTAGTACAAATAATGCTTAAATTAAAGAATAACAACCACAAGGCCGCTACTTTTCGTAATAAGTAAGTGTTTTCCGAATCAAGCAACTTCTTGAAACCATCTCATTTCAGACTTTTGTGGCCTTTTTTGGTATATGCTAGTTTTACAGGTTTTACCTTTTTTCTTGTTGTTAGTCTATGGAATAGGTTTCTCGAAAATCCGACGCTAACATCATTGGAAAGTTCATTATATTCAGTGAGCAATATACCGTTTCCAGGTGTATCACTCTGTAATCTAAATAAAATCAGTAAAAAACGGGCGCAAGAAATGGCTGAATATATGTAAGTAACTTGGAAAAGTAAAAAAAATTAAAATTTTATTAAGTGTTATGTTACAGCGTGAAAAAGACTGGACAAAATTACACAACAATTATGAGTTCTTTCAAGTTCTTGGGATTCTTGCATGATTCAAACTACGATAACAGTTATAATGTAGATGAGATAGACGAATTTCAAAATATTTTAGATTCCCTTCAACTCAAAACCACCGGTTTAATAAGAAATGTACGTTTTTGTGTATTTTAATTTACTTATTTGATAATGGCTTCGGTATAAATCGCGTTTACATTTTCTCATTTCTTCATGTAGGTACTCGTAGTTTATTAGTTCTATTCTAACAAATAAAAAGATAAAAAAGAGTGTTATTGTTAGATCATATTATTAAAACAAGACTGCAACTTCAAACCGAATGTTTAAAATAGTTTATTTGAATTCAAAATTATTGAACAAAGAGAGGGAAAAAAATCGTATCGCGGAAACACGTTTTCTGTAGTTTATTAGTGAACTGAAAGTAAAATACATATACCGTGCGATCAAATAAAAAATAAATTAGAGAAGGCGGTGACTAAAGTCCTTCAGATGGCAATCCTAATTTTTGACATCAAATGTCAGCGGAAACTTTGATAAGTTTGCGTTTTATTCCTTTTGAGTGAAATAATGTTCACTTGAGAACAGAAAATTTTTATTGCTGTACAAGAGGAAAACGGTTGATGGTCATTTTCACTTTCAGTTTGTGTGAATAATTTCCAGCCCAGATTCCCAGCCAATGTGTTGCCAACTGTAGAATTTAATCGACGCCTACTCTAATTTATTTTTTATTTGATCGCACGGTATAATCCGTCAAATTAAATTCTTTATAACAATATGCAAATTAGTTTAAAAAAAAAGTGACTATAAACATATTAGCTATTTATGTAAGTATCAAGTACGCAAAATAGGGTTTTAGGGGACGAATTGTAATTAATGACGAGGCGACGTAGGAGCCGAGTCTTTAATAAGAGGAGGCACCTAAAACCTTTTGCGTACGTGGTGCATTAAGATTTGTTAAAGCTCCCAAAACACGAATTCACATTCATTAAAAAAAATTCGTTACCATAGTAACCAATTTTATTTTTTAGTCCGCAAAAACTGTTTTTGTGGACTGAGTACCTAAAATAACCGTTTTGCGTACTATTTTATTGAGTCCGAAAAAAAAAATTGGGGACTCAAATGAGTCCGCAAAATAGCTACTATTTTTGGAAGCGTATACAAAAAAATATTTTTATAGTGATTTTTTCTTACTAACAGAACTCTGACACAATTACAATTAGATAAATTAAACGCAAGACAACACTTAATCGTGCTAACATAAAAACAAATTTTTGTTGTAAGTAGTTAATTATTACAATTTTATTATAATATTCTTTCCTACATTTTTTAGAGAACAAATTGNGAACAAATTGATATTATTAATTTTTGTTCAGAATATCTTTTTTTATTTGATAAGAAAATCTTTTGCTTTTTTTGTTAAACAACGGCACTTTTTTTTATTTTTATTGTATGTATAAAGCACAATTTTTTGTTCATTAAAAATAATAAATAGCCAATTATACAGTAGTTAACTCTAAATTCCATTATAAGATAGTGTTGTAATAAGAACCCTTGTCTATACGTACCTACATTAATAGCAAAACACAGAAAACAGTATTTTAAAAACAAGTTTCACAATTTTCTGTTCAATTTAATTAATTCATTTCATTAAAACCCATATAAATGTACGATTTACAAAGTTACAAAGTGGGTTCTAAGAAATGTCATAGGTTACCTGAGTATAAAATACGAAACCTTATATTTATTCAAACAAAAGTCAAGTAGCTCTTTTACCATTAAAAAAAAAACGTTGCTAGGCGGTATATTCACAAAATTTTGCATTTTTATTGGAGGATTTACAAAAGGTATTTGTAAAGCAAAACCAATTTTAATCTCGTGTAATCAATATTAAATTTAGTTTGAACTGAATACAAAATTGAAATAATGTAATTTCTTTAGCTGACCACACCTTGTAACGACCTCTTGCAACTGTGTCGCTGGAAGGGTCACAAAGTCAATTGTACAAATATTTTTCATATGAGACTCACTTTCGAAGGTTACTGTTGTGTTTTTAATTATGTAAAGAATACGTCAGAATGGTGGATGCGCCGGGCGAGAGACGAAACTTTGGGTAAGTTTGTAAACTCATTTTTGTCCGTCACTTTTTTGGTTTATTAGTTTTAGAATACGGATCTCCAGGGATAAGCAACGGTCTGTCGGTCGAACTTAATATTGATATAGACGACTACATTTATACCATGATGTCTTCAACCGGAGTTAACGTCAGTGCTTTCTGTTTAATTTCATATGATACCCTTGAAGTAATTTTTTAGGTGCATATTTTCATCCCTAGTGACTATCCCGACAAATCCAGCGGCGATTTGATTGAGAACATTGCCGACATCGGCACGGAAAACTTCTTGGAAATTATCCCCACGACCGTGAGGGCGGTTAGGGATGTAATGAACTACGCTGTTGACAAAGTAAATCTAACCTTCTCGTTTACGACCCCCGAAACTTGATTATTGTAGCGAGAATGCCTCTTCGAAGTGGAACAAAGGACACAGTTCGGGTTGTACTCGCAAAGCGACTGTTTTGTGGATTGCAGGGTGAGAAGTATGATGACTTTGTGCGAATGCATACCCTTTACTGTGCCTTTGAGTGACGACAGTACAGTTTGTACTTTGCGAGATCTTCCCTGCCTTGCGAGATATAAAAGTAATGAAAACAAATGAACAATAAATAGTCCAAAATCAATTTTCAGGTAAATGGTCATCTCTTGTTCCGGATAAATGGCACGAATACAATATAAAAGAACTGGAGGATGCGCTTTTGTGTTCAAAAACTTGTTATCCTTCATGCGATTCCACTTTGTATAGAGTTAGTGCATCCGCAGTTCAAATTAACAAGTATAAAAAACAACAATAACAATTCGGATTTTTTATCTAAAGCGGAAATAGTTCTAGGTTTAGTAACAGTACTTCTATTCATATTTTTTACAGGGACAGATATCATAATTTGTATAAACAAGATGTTGTCTATTATTGGTTTGAGATACTGAGTAATTATAATTACCACAGATACTCCGGATGCGAAAAAACTATGAAACCAAGCGTTTTCTATATTAACTTTATTAAAAACAAATTTATGACAAGAAAACTACCGTATAAATGTAGTAATAATAAGTACATGATGTATTCTGTGAAAAAAAAAAACAGTTTAATTAGAAATTGTTTCGTTCCATACTTTTTTCGCACCCGATATATTCTTTATCTGTCCACACTGTATTTTTTAGGTAATTATGGTGGTGTATTTGGAATAAGCCTTGGAGTCAGTTTAATTTCAATTATTGAATGTTTAATTTATTCTTTCAAGTTGTTGATAGGAAAATATAGATTATAAAAAATACATTGTTGTTATTTTTCGACTGACACACTATACGTTACTTTAATCACTTATTACTTCCTGTATAAATAAATTGTAAAACGATTCTATGTAAGTCTTTTTCCGGTCTTCAGCACAAAAAGTAAATGTAAGTTTTTCGAAAACAAAGATACACTAATTTATCAGAGTCACAGAATTTTGTCATTTTAATTCCAAAATTGCTTTCTCAAATATTTAGAAATGATCAAGAATAGTATATAAATACCTATGTACGTATTATTGACCTTATATTAAAATTGCAATTTGCCCTCATAAAAATGTCATCACTGAAAGATTAATTTATTTTTTTTAAGAAAATAATTTTGGTTTTAATTTTTCCGACTCAAAATCAAAATATGCTCTATTACAAAATCTCTGAGGCTCTAGTTGGTAAATTAATAAATAAATATGAAGGTGATAAAACATTGTAAAAAAAATATACACAGTTGTAGTTTGAGTAAGATTTCCGTGATTAATTGATTATACAGGGTGTTTCACATAACTTTACGAGGCTTATAAAAATATACAAAAGTCACAGAACACTGGATATAAAAATACACATTTAATTATTTAATTTTTCATCGTATTGTATGTACTATTAAAAAAGAATATTTTTAAACACTTTATCAAAAATTACACTTGCTTCATAGTTATGTATTATGAATTATCCCACATTTAGCGATCATAATGTAGTCAGTGATAAGGATTACTATATAGCCTTGCTATATGTATAAACTAGATAGTTAAGTACATCATTAGAAAACATATGTATCTACATAATTTGCCGATACATTTCTTAAGAACCTGTTATTATGCATTAGGTTATCCCTTGTGATTATATGCTATATTTGTATAATAATAATAAAAGAAGTTTGCAAACGATGTTTATTTTAGAAACCTCGTAAAGTTACAAAGTACAAAGCTGACCATGGCTTCAGTTTCGTGTTTGCAGAACTTCAATATGAAATTATGATGACTATTCAATTCAGGGAATAGAATAAACAGAGCTTCTGATTATAAATTGAGATTAATTATCACTCGGTTTGTTCTATCTCACCATTACAGTCGTAGTCATAGACGTAGAAGGTAGAACCGAAATAGAATAGACGTCATTCAGTAATATAATAAGGGCTAGATAACCAGCGGGCAAACAGATTCTTCTATATAAACCCGTAATTTATTTCTCTGTCAAAGTATGTAAAGGTCGGTCAATAAATCATCGAGTGACCGGAACAGTGGTTAAAATATTGAACCTTTGTTGGTTTTTCGCATTCCTTTTTCCGGTTGAATTCGTGTGTCAGCACGACGCATTCGATTTTATTCATGAGTGGCAATTCCTATGAAATCACATGTTTTATTTAAATCGTCTTGTGTATCGATTCGCTTCGTAAATGCGTGATTTGAGGTGTACTATTGTACGTGTTGTCCTGCGTGTTCCCGCCGTCCAAGTGCCAACATCCCGCGAACGGCTGACCTCCTCAGCTGTCAGTCGAACTATGGCCTCGTTCAGATAACCACAAAAGCACTTGGTGCCAGTCTCCGCGATGTCTACCCGACTTCGATACGACAAAAAAGTGATAGTCGGCGTGTCGTTCACGCTTTATCAACCGTCTCGGACATAACCTAATCAGCAACCGTTGGAAGAGCGCCAAATTCGAAGGGGCCCCTTTGAGAGATGCGGCTAGAGCGAGAGCATCATGGTGTTGAGCACGGAATGGTCGCAAGTTGAGATTATCGACTTGGTGAACGATGGCTCGGGGCTGGGGTTCGGCATCGTCGGCGGCAGGAGCACGGGGGTCGTCATAAAGAGCATCCTTCCAGGAGGCATCGCCGATAAAGACAGTCGGTTACAGAGCGGCGACCACATTCTCCAAATTGGAGACGTCAATTTAAGGGGGCTCGCCGCCGACCAAGTTGCCACCGTTCTGAGGCAGGCTGGGGCACAGGTGGTTAACATTTTTAGTACACCAATATGTAAGACATCACTTAACATTGTGCACTGTGTTGTCCACTATAGGATGTAGTCGTTTCGTAGATATAGCTCCAAAAAATTAATAACGAGGACAAGCATGCTATGGCATTTGAAAAAGTTGGAAACCCTAACTACTTTTTTTAAATGCATGTTTTTTTAGTGATTTTTAAATCTGGAACTAAATGTATGTTTTTGTATCATATTTTTTCTTTTTTTATGTTTCGACCAACGATTTAATTTTAAGTCTGAAAACATTGTTATAACAACCATAATAATATCTGTTCGGCGAAAAAAAAGCATCTTGCAAAATGTTTCACCAACTTTCAATTATAACAATTATACAGGGTGTTTCACATAACTTTACGAGGCTTGCGCCTAATGTACGCACCCAAATATACAAAAGTCACAAAACACTAGATACAAAAAATACACTTCTAACTATTTAATTTTTGGAAACCCATGACAGTAGTTGTCAAACTAATCACTGTTTCATTAACAGTCTAAACTGCAGTTTTTCAGAAACAATTATCATTTGTTCTATCAAGAGACAGCATGAATATGATTCTAGTTTATCTATCTTAATCACTAACTAACTAAAAACGTAATTTTTTAAAGGGTGAACAAACTAGAGAAGATAATTCAATGTTTCAAAATTTGTAATCGAGTTCGTATCGGAATATGTATTATTGATTGCATCTTACAGGCGCAGGCCTCGTAAAATTATGTGAAACACCCTGTATGCAACCAGAAAAAATAGTTATTTGTATTACAAAGAAAAGAAAAACTTCAAAAATAACAATGTTTCTTGATATCCCAGTTTCGCCTTTAACGTGTTTTTCTGTTTCTATGCGGGAGGTAGTTGACCACTTTCCTTTCTGAAATTAGCGTGGCAAAACTTACTTTCTGTTAGGGTTGTAGGAAAAATAGATTTACCAACAGTGCAAGATCATCATTATTGACACTCATTTAATAAATAAAGAACTCTGAAATGAAAAATAGTTTCTGTCGTGAGTCTGGTAAAACCATGTACTTATTTCTGTTCGAAACTTGAAGGAATGATCCGAATAATTTTCTCAAATTTTTGTTATAAAAGAAGGAATATTCAAGTAGTGGGTGTGGAAAACATAATGAGGCCAAGTACGTGTTTGTGGGTTTATTTCTCGTTCCAGCTTTTAAAAGCCGGATATTTTTAACCCAAGCTGTCCCTTCGCATAATAAAAATGACACTGTTTAGTTTTAATAAGATAAAGAACGTCATGATAAAGTTAGAGTTTACTTGCGATCGAAACTTCATTCATAAAAAATGTCTTGAGGTTCCATGTGTACGCTTTATTAATTTTGTAACTTTTCTATTTCATTATTTGTGAACTTGTAAGATGTGAAAAGTTTTTTGACGCGGGTGTTTTCCTATTTGGAACGTTATTCGATTATGTAAAGCCGGGAACGTGAAATATGTTTTTGTTATGATCAGAGCTAATCGATAATGGGATAAAAGACGACGTCAAAATGAAAAATCTGAATAAGAGTCGCGAAAGCATCGAGATAAGGGAAAATATTGAATATAATGTTTTGTAATAGTAAAGGAAATATTTGTATGAACGTCGAACCAATTTATCTATACTTTTGTACTTTTTAAGTGCATTAAATATTTATATCGTTATTTACGTAAGGCGGTCACTTTGTCACAGTTTTCATGACAAAGAATAATATAAATATGAAAAAATCTTTTGATTTATGTTTGACTGGAGCTGTTTAAGACCTGCTAATTACTTCCTTTGGAAAAGAAATGTGGGATTAGTTTTAGCTCTCTGAAATTTTGCAATATCGAAATTGATTTTCACATCATCTACTTCACCACTCCAGAACAAGTCATTATTGTTCTCGTATGCGTTTATCACTTTTGTCGAGTGTATGTTTCATTTAACAATGTCAGAAAAAAATATCAGAAACTAATCAAGTAAAGCAATTTTTCACATAGTTGGGTGCTTAAATGACTGTTAGAGTTGACAATTGTCGTAACTAGAAGTTAGTATTAAATAAAAATCTTTTACGATTAATTTTGAATTGTTTAAATTTCCGTCTCCTGGGTCCTAAACACAGCTTTTCATCAACTTGAGTTCTCTTTTCAGGTCAGAATGGTGGTTGCACGTCCTGTTGAGCCTTCTTCTTCGGATTTCCAATCCTTCGACTGTTCGGCTCCCATAGTTCCGACAAAGATCCTCACCGATCCGGAAGAGCTAGACCGTCAACTCCAACAAAACGGCTATTCCTCGTTCTACGCTTGCAACGACCGCAGCTCTTGCGACGATCTCGAACAAACCGACATAAACTCTATCGATGCTAACCCCGGAAGTTACAATTCTCTAGACGTTGTCGTCAATAATAATAATAATAATACTAATGGCTTTTCGCCGCCCAGTGAGAGTCAAGTGGTGATAATCCCCGCCGACATTGAATACACTCTTCCAGAAACGGAGCGCTTCACCGTAGAACTGACAAAAAACGAATACGGGTTGGGGATTACGATCGCAGGATACGTGTGCGAAAGGGAGGATCTTAGTGGAATCTTCGTCAAGAGTTTGAACGAAGGTAGCGAAGCTTACAAGTGCGGAAAGATTAATACTAACGATAGGATTGTGGAAGTTGATGGACAGTCTTTGCAAGGGTTTACGAATTACGAAGCTGTGGAGAAGATTAAACAAACTGGTGGGAAAGTTGTGTTGACTTTGGAGAGGTACTTGAGAGGGCCGAAATTTGAACAATTACAAGAAGCATTAGCTATTCAAGAACAAAAGGATTTGAGTCCACCTTCGCCGTCGCAAACGACTCTTAGTTGGATACCTATTGAAGCAGCTGAGGTATTATTTTATATTGTTTTACTTTATTTGAATTAAGAGAGAACTTCTAGGATCAGATCGAACCGGAAGGTGAGTCCGTTGTGAGCATTAATAGCGAAATCTACGAGCAAAACCTTGAAAATAAAGAAATATTTATCGAAGAAGATTTTGAAGCGAATCCCGATGACGATTTAGAAACCGCCACCAAAAAAAAGTGGGAGGCTATAATCGGCAGCGATACTGAAATCGTCGTTGCCAATTTAACGAAACTCAAAGGTTTAGGTATAAGCCTAGAGGGGACGGTCGACGTCGAAGGAGGCATCGAATTGCGTCCCCATCATTATATCCGTTCCATACTACCTGAAGGTCCAGTCGGCCAAAATGGCAAATTAAGCTCCGGTGACGAACTTTTGGAAGTAAACGGTCAAAAACTCCTCGGAATCAAACACGTGGAAGTCGTTAAGATCCTCCGCGAGTTGCCGAGCACCGTTCGCTTAGTCTGTGCTCGTAAACACGAGGAGAATCGCGTCATAAACACCTCTCAAGACCGTGAAGCCTTCGAAGCGCGGAACATTTTGGGGGGCAGTTTGAAAAATCTGTTACCTCAGCCCGAACAAAGGTTGCTCAAGGCTCTAAGCGACACGAGTATAAACACTTCGAGTACCGTAACCGTGACCAGCGAAACCAGCTTGCAAAAGGCCAAATCGCGGTCGTTAGAAGTGACGAATTTAGCAATGTGGTCGGAAGACGTCGAACATATTGAACTGATCAAAACCGACCGAGGTTTAGGGTTCTCGATTCTGGATTATCAGGACCCTCTGGACCCCAAAGCGACCGTTATAGTCGTGAGAAGTCTAGTACCTAACGGGGCGGCGGAACACGACGGTCGCATCACTCCTGGTGATCGGTTGATCAGTGTTAACGATAAAATAATCAAAAACGTGACCCTAGACCAGGCGGTCCAGGCGTTAAAAGGGACTCTGCCCGGTCCTGTCAAGTTAGGTATATCCAAACCGTTACCCAGTTCCAGAGCCAGTGAAAATGTCAGTACGGTAGGGTCCTGAAGCCACATTTTTTCCCATGCGAGAATTAAATAACAATATTTTAGTACTTGGATTTTGGATAAGCACAATCACTGCTGCCTTTTCGAATATTTTTCCGTAGTTAAGTCAAAAGATAGGTGATTAGATGACGAATTTATAAGCTGTAAAGCTTCAAGGGCACAAATTCGTATGTATTTTATACGCATATCAGCTGATGAGATTTTAAAGTGTCCAGACACTTCACTTTTTTAACGCTCTAGTCGCTAGGTATATCAGGAATAAATGAAGGTAGGCGAATAGACGGGGGAAGTCCCCGCTTGTATAGTTTCCGGTGTTCGGTCACTAGTGCTTCGATCAGTTTTCTTCTACAAGCAGGTTCTTCCATAATCAATACGTAACAATGGAATTTATGCACAATAGCGCTCTAAATAAGGAATTGAATAGTACACTTGATGTTTTACTTACACTCTGTAAATATACTTGTGTGGTGTTGTGTTACAAAGTCTGAATCTTGATATTCGTGCCATGTTTTGTTGTGATTTTGTTTTTGTTAAGACTGATTTTAAACAACTCAAATCTGAAGGTCAATATTTAAGCAATATGCCGATTATGTGATAAGTTTGTTGGCCTAAGTTTTTATTTAAATTACGAATTTTGGTGTGTGATGTGTACATAAAAAAATCGATCCTATTGTTAAAATAGGGCTAAGAATGAAATACCTGACTCGGGTTAAAACGGGGAACGGAGTATTTATCGATTCTTGTCAGAGTTGATAAAGACTTCCTCCTAAAATTGTTAAATAGAGTCACTGCGGGGGGTGGTTTTGGATTAGTTGCATGATTAAATTAGGTACCACCTGAAATGACTATCCTTAGACACTGTTCAAGCTTCATTATTTACAAAAAACTATCCTCTAATCATAATTACAATAAATTGTGTAAGTGACGTTACATGAATAAATTATATTTATTATGTTGAGTTTCTTATTATTTGAAATAGACGCTGGTACAGCAACAAGCGGTGATCAGTTTGTGTTCTTGACAAGTATTGGCGTGAAGGAAACTGCAATCCGCAAATTGGCATTGGTATGGAAGGCGATCTATAATTATTCACTGTGATATGCGAAACGAATTGAAAATACATACCGTAAGGGTTATTGGGATTATGGCAACAGCAAGAATCGTGGAAAAGTTTGTCGCTACAGTAGCTGTAAACCGAGGAATCGCAAAGGGGACACCGTCTTCGGAAGCTGACGGGATAAGGTTGTCCTAAACTCACAGGACCATCAACGTCATTGTTCGTGTAAACTGCTGGAATTTTAATTTTATTGTGAGTCATCGCAATTAGTATCCGGTGCATTATTAATTTGGTACTTTTTGCACCGTCTTAATTGTGATTAATTGAATACTTACTGGTTGAGTGGACATAGGTGACGCATAAGGCGAGTAGTAGTAGAGGCACGAAGAACTTCATTTTCTTGCACTTTACGTCGAGATGATGGAACGAAACTGCTTGAGAAGCATTCCAAATGCAGAAGACATTGTCGTCTAACTGTATTCTGTCCGATTTCTTGTATAATTCAGTATGTTGTGGGATGACTAAGAGTTTCCCAACAGATAACGGATGAAATTGAACCATGCCAATAAATTAATTAGTGGGAGAGTAGACGGGTAAAAACATAAACAAGAATTACGTAACAAGAAGGTTTATTATAATAATACTGTGCAGCCTTAATATTGCTTTGGTAGTAATTAAAGGTGATAATATACAAGTATATATACAATTTGCACCATCAGTGCCAAGGTAATTATCTCTTTGTTGACGTGTGAACGAACCCCCGCAGACTTTTTCTTCCCTGTAAAAGCCCGAATCAATATGATGTAAATGTGAACGACCGGTTAAATTGTATGACCAACGATGTGATTATTGTTGAATCGGGTTTGCGTGACCGTCTTCAACACTTCCAATTACGAAAAGTTTATTTATACATAAAATTTGGGGCTTACATTTCTGCAGGGCGTATTTATCACAACAGCAGCTCCGCAATCGGCTGTACTCTGCACAATCTCCGACCACCGGCTTGCAGATTTGAGTACCCAAGTAGCACGTGTGGGGGATGAACGGTAACACTTCTGCAAAACAATTGTGATTCAGCGATTAGCTGGAGGCGTCAGTTAATATGTTAATTGAAAGGGTCACAAGATGCCATGTGGGAATGCGAGGTTTATTAGTTTGCCAACACCGCACCTGGCGTTTGCTGTGAATAAGATTAACTTCGGTTTGAATTGCTTTAAACTTTATCTTATTTTTCTGGTAACTATTTAAAAAGAAAATGAACACTATAAGCATTTCTGATTTTTACGAGCTGGTATGAAACTCAATAATGTCTTATTTAAATGGGTTTACAAGCTCGTGGTCTGTGGTTTCAAACTCATGTTTACATATTGCATATAGGTTTAATACATTTTTTAATAAATCATTTTAAATAAATTTAAAAATGTCACATTAGTAATAGGAGTAAAGGAACTATATCTGTTGTAAGATGATCGTTGGAAAATTACTATCTGTTTCTAAATTTTTACTTCGTAGAACTAATTGCAAGGCAGGGTCATTCAGTTGGACAAAAACCATTTTTGCGTTACGCAAATCTTATCTATAAAAATTTCGAAGTTATGAGGGTTTAAATTTTGCAGTTTGACTCTATTTATTCTGTTGAAAAAATAATTTTCCTAGTTTTTTGGCTATAAAAGAGGAAACAAGGAAGCTGTATTCTAAATTGTAACTGTTCAATATTATTTGTGACGTTACAAAACATATACAAGATCATCAGTATCATTAAATAGACATAAAAAATGTCAAATGTCAAAAAATAAATGTCGAAATTTTTTGACAGATAGAATTTTTTAAACATTTTTTCCATGTTCCTGGTATCTTACCTTACTTGAAAATTTTCTCTGGGGCGCGAGTTCTGGCGCAGCCTGTATATAATACTCGTCGAATAGTGTTTATTTCCATGGAAAGTATAACAGTGATAATATAAAGTGTCATGTTATTCACATTTCAGTAATTCCCAATTTTTTTATAAATGCTAATATGAAATTTAAGAATTCAACTATTTCTAATGTGTCAGAACTCGCGCTCCAGAGAAAAATTTTGAGTAAGATAAGATACGAGGTGCATGAAAAACATGTTTAAAAAACCCTAGCTGTCAAAAAATTTTGACATTTTATTATGTTTATTTAATGGTACTGATGATCTTGTATATGTTTTTTTTTATAATTACTTAGTAAAGGTACAAAAATTTTGCCAATAAAAGCCACAAATAACATTAAACAGAGTTAAAATTTAGGATACTGCTTCCTTGTTGTCTCAGTGATGGACAGTGAATTTCGTCCACCCAATTTCCCCAACAGATTAAAAGTGTAAATTAGTCTTTAGGTTTTCCTAACCTTGTTTCAGAATTTTGATTAACGTTTGTCATGTTGACAGAATGCTCGATACTTCTTGCTACCTTTGTCCTTTGAAATGGTAGTCCTTGCTATGCTCAAAAGTATAAAGACACGTCTTTGAGACATACCTTCTTGTACCAGAGAGATAATTTTTATTTTATTAAACGCACTTACTGCTAGCATGTTCGAATTTGATTAAATTTGACAATACGTATTTGAATGTCACTAATCATGACAACAAAGCACAGACTACAGTGAATTTTTGTGAATCCACAGAAATTGGGTGGACGAAATTCACTGTTTATCACTGTACTGTAATTTTAATTTAATAAATTGCTTTCAATGCCTATTTGGGTACCTAATAAAAATAAAAAATTTTAAAAATATTGGCGTTTCCTCTGATTTATTAAACAATTCTTTTTAATTATACAGGGTGTTCCGTTTTTATTGTTACAAATTTAAATAGGTGATGGTATATTCAATTCTAAGACAAAAGTTTCCTATAAACATGTATCAAAAAATGCTTGGTAATGGAGCTACACCCCCTGGAAGGGGGCTAATATGTTTTTGATAATATTTCAGAAACCATGTAAGATAAAATTACAAAATTTGGTACAGATAATAACCTTTATACACCTAAACGAATTCAAACATCAAATATAGAAATTTTTAATCAGGGGCGTACGAAACTGGAGGAGTTTAAGGTAAAAAAATACCCTATTTATTTTGGCTTTAGTTTCTCGGTACTTTCAGCAACAAAATCTTAAGTTCGATAGTTTATCACAGAAAKGTCTCTCTTGTGTCGATACGACTTATTGTTTTTGAATAAWATTAATTTAAAATTTATGTTACACACCAATACAACATTCAKATAAATCAGAATTTACAGAATAATAAAAGCAAGACATTCATATTTTTTAATCAACCTCAACTAATTAACATTACATTACAATAACAATAATAACATTAATTAAATGAATTTGCCTAAATCTAAGGAGTTGTTCAAAGTGACCACCATTTTGGTCAATGCATAACTAAAGAAACTAGAGCCAAAATAGATAGGGTATTTTCTTACCCTAAACCCCACCAGTTTCGGACGCCCCTGATTAGAAATTTGGACATATGATGTTTGAATTTGTTTAGGTATATAAAGATTATCATCTGTACCAAATTTTGTAATTTTATCTTAAATGGTTTCTGAAATATTAGCAAAAACATATTAGCCCCTTCCAGGGGGTGGTAGCTCCCTTACCAAGCATTTTTCGATACAAGTTTATAGGAAAGTTTTGTCTTAGAATTGAATATCCTATCACCTGTTTAAATTTGTAACAATAAAAACGGAACATCCTGTATATATTCTTTTTTATTATTTTTCACTTCTTTTAAAGTTCTGCTTCTGTAATTTTATTATTTACTTTTTATGATTTGCTACAAACCTTAAGTAAAATTACTTAATCGCTCCGGAGTCAAGGAGCAGTGACGCAGCAAATACCACATAATTTTTCATACATTTTGTAATTAATTTAAATCTTGTATATAACGCAATCTAAGTGCAAACAAATGACTTGGCTTTCATGAGAACTACACTATAAGGAAGTTCTCCCTTACTTACCATGGTATTTCCTGTCGCAGCAACAGTGATCAGAAATGAGATCGTTGCCTAAACAATATTTGATTTCATCTTTGGTACATTTTTGGCATCCCACCGGTGAAGCGACTGAAAAAAATTCTGTTACAACTTTGTCATTTTCATTTGTGCTCATTAATCCGGGTGTGGTTGTTTTCTTCTTGAAATTCTTTTATTAATTTTAATTGAGCGCTTAATTAACTCAAATCAAGGCTGTGTCTGAAGTGTAAAACTGCGTTTTTCACACTCAAATCGAAAATTAAAACCAAACTAACTTTAGCTGAATTGTTGATTTCTTCGTGATCTAATTTTAACCCTCAAGTGGGTTAGTCGATAATAACGGATCAAAGACGCATTTTGGGTTTATAAACGATGTCAATGAGTTGCGTGCAATTTGCTCTTTATCCCGCGATCTTTTACGGCCATTGTGAGTTATGGTTGGTCAAGACTTACCGGAGTTCAGATCGATACTAAGGGCAGCATTTCTCGCTTGTGTGGCTGATATTTCGTGCTCCACAATGTACTCCTCGTAGCGGTAGCCTTTATCATATTCGACAATTGGGCTGCTTTGCGCCAGATTTAGCACCAAAAAGGCCACGGTGTATCCGAAGACTAGTCCCAGCATTTTTCATTTTTGGCTCGGAGAGTGGTACTAGAAAAGATCTGCAAGTGGAAAAATTACGGCTCTTGACTGATAATAATGGCTAGGGGAAGCGGATGATGCGTCATGTGAAAGACTAATTTTGCTATCGAGGATTAGGAATGTTTGAAATGACGTCAGGGATTTTCAAGTGGAGAAGGAAGATACCTTGAGCATGTAAATTTAATAGGTATATACCGTTTAACAGTTTGTTATTAGAATAAAAATTTATTTTTTAAGTAATTAAATCGTAATGAGATAATTGACACTTTGTTGAGTGAAATGGTAAATATTTAGAAAAAGATAACTGAGTAAAAATTACAGTAAAAAAGTTTAAGGTGAGTTAATGATATACAGGTGTCCGGATTAAACGTTGGAAGATTTTGGGGGTTGGTTCCCTAGGTCAAAATAAAAAAAGTTCCTATGGACCTATGTCTGAAAATACTTCCCAAAGGGAGCCAGACAAATAACACTACCTTCGGTCAGAGTGTACGGTTATGAAAAAACTCGTTTTTCTTTAGAATGAGTCATCCAAAAATAATACAAGAGGAATTTTTTGAAGAAAATTAGCCAGTAAACCCGCAACTGCCAAAAAAATTCAAAAAGCTTCTTTCAAAGCAAAATTTTACGCCTTAAATAGATTGATTGATGTAGGTGCGTACGAACTTTTTTCTTATTTTAACCTAGGGAACCACTTCCGGAATCTTTCAACATTTTTTCCAGACATCCTGTGTGAGGGGTCGTGAACTTCAGATTCCGAATCTATTGATTCTGTTATGAAAAATTCAGAAACGAGTTCAGTGGTAATAATTAAACCGGTACCAGAAATACGTTATTATGAAAAGACAAAACGATCGGTTTCTTAAGATAATAATAAGAAAAAATAAATGTTGTACATTTTGTTAGATTTAAACACCTGTTGTATTCCTACTCATAAAATAGACTCATAAAATTGCTATTTTAATTTGCTGTTCTTAATTTAACGTCTGATTAAAGAAAGTCACTTCCTAGTTATTACTTGATAAAATAAGTATTAAATCATCTTTATTTACACAATTGTTTATTCATAAAATTTGCTGTATTGGAAGTTTCTAAGCATATAAGAGTTTGGTTTTTTTCTTATTTATTTATTATTCACTTTGAGGCATTTTCCCATGTAGAAACGACAACATTCAGAGAATAATTAAGAAAAATCCATGTGGAACAAATTTGGGAATAGTAGATTATTCAACGATTCAGAAAGTTGGCGATTTCCACGAAGATGAAATTTACGATTAATAATAATAAGTTGCTATAGTAAGCCCGAGATTAACTGGGATCATTTCGTTGTATCCACTTTGATGGGACATCGCAACAGTTTTTCCCTTCTTTTGCAGTAGGTATAGATATGCTAATTTTTCGTCTTAAGTTTTAAATTAGGTAGTCGCTTTAACAAAAGCAACGGAAAACAGCTTAATTAAAAATAGACAAGAGAGTGAACTCCGCACAAGTTTTAGATCGGTTCTTAAGAAATCATCTTATAAACAACAAATGCTGCATTTAGCCATTGCAAGATTGCAAAAGACGTTTAGATTATTAGTACTTTAAGCAAAAAATATTAAATTTCTTATTAAAAAAAACTGTTTTTCTCCAGCAGAATTTGAAACAGAATAACTTTTTTTATTGTGTACTAGTACTCGTACATTATAACAATGATTATATTTTTGTACCTTAGAGGTAAAGAATCATATTTCCATTATTATAGATTTAGAGAAAACGGGTTTTAAAGTAAAATTTGAACTGTTGGCATATTGCAAAACGTTTACTACAATAATCTTTTGATTTTAAAATCGTTTAATGATTACACCAAGAGAAGAGTGAAAACAGCCAAATGAATGAATTTCATAAGGAATATTGGGTGAACCGGCTTGCTGATACGTTTCCTTTTCTAATCTACGCACTGTGTAATTTTAACACTAACGCTATCTTTAAATTAAGAATTAAGAAATCGAATTATGTATTTAAAAAATATATGAAGAAATTTTGCCTCGAAAATGTTGAAACAAATATAAATTTGTATTTAATCGTTTGGTTTAAAATTTTAAATACCTAAGTAGAAAAATTTAAATATTTTGAATATTGAAATTTTTGGATGAATAATTAATGGCTTTTACTTTTCTTTTGTTATTGCTTGTTTATTAAAAAAAAAGATAACAATTGAAACCATGCATGTTAAAATTCTATTGCTATGAATATTACTTTTTTATAGGTTTGTAGTGAAATAAAACTTTTGTATTAATTGCTACATCTCATGTTCTCAGCGCTTACCCACTAGAGAAAGTGAATTTTTATTTAAATTATTTAATATCAATTTAATTTTTTGTGGTCTTGTTGCATTTTCGTGATACTATTAAATGCCTTAAATTCTAGTTACATGTTCAATTGGAGAAAGAGTTTAATAGTGATGATGTCACTGCTGAAAACATTAGTAATAATAATAATTACTGGGAAAAAATGTCCCTCGATCATTACATGTGAGACGCATCTGCCATAGTAATTCGGACACCTGCTTGCAAGGGCCTTCACTCGAAATACCGGCACGTGTATTTGACAGTTACTCGACTGATTTGAAAAAAGAAATCGTGACTGTCTTGTAAGACCTAACATGACAATTAAGCCAGAATTTTTTGAATTAGCGCTGACGACACTGTGTTTCAGTTTCACTTTAATTGAAGTTCACGGTGGAAATTTTGAGTACGTTGATTTTCATTTTGTAAACCAACAATACATGTCCTTTTTCCTTTGTGACACACTTAATTGCATAATGAATTTAAAATTGGAATAAATGCGCCGAACAAGAAAATAATACATAAATTCCCAATTATTGTGAAGGTTAGTCCAGTAAACATTTGATTGTTGTGTCTATTGAACTTTTTATTTTTTAGTGGTAGTGTTTTTCACCTTGTTTTTCCTTATCTACGAGATACATAAAATTGTACTCAATCGCCGTTTATTTACTCACCTTCATACACAATCAGTGTCAGCCGTCGACGGATCACATGGACGAATGCACCAATGAAAAGACACGACCGGTCGTCTCGACGCGCCGCACATACACAGCCAACTTGACCGACGCTTTATCACCAATGACAATACGAGTTTAGTTGCGAATAGTTTTTCTATCGCGCATGACAAGACAAGGCATCGCGCGAAAGACGCATAGTTATTGCAAATTATTAATTTTTATGGGTGCGTAATGGTAATGTCCACTCGGAGGAAAAGACCAGCAGGGAAGGGGAAGCTATAACGCACCAGTGATAATCGCAATTTAACAAATCCGTATTCCAATCATGCACGAAAATACCTTACATAATGGTATTGTATTCACCTGTGATGGTACACGTCATAACCCTACCCTTCCGGTGGATTGATTGGTGATTGCGAGGTCGTGGTACGAAGGGTGGTTCAATTATTACGCTCTTTGTGCAACTAACGAGGGCATTTTTTGCACCAATTGATTTTTATCGGAGCGTTAATGTAAAATATGTCGTAAAAGAGGAAAAAATGACCACAATTTAAGGTTGCGGGTTTAGCATGTTGCAATAATTCTGTTTTTGTTTGAAATAGAGTTTGGAACGTCAAGTGTGTTTGTTTTTTACTTGCGCTGGTCACCTACTTACTGGAAAATGATATTAGGTATTATCAGATGGAATGAGGAATGAAATGTTAAAACATAGTTGGGTTTTATGTTCTGATTACAGATATTTAAGTATTGTAATTGAAAAGGGTCACAATGTTCATTTTCAAAGTTGATTTATCACTATTTTGGATACAGTTTTAACTCATCTGAATATGAAGTTTGTTCATTTTTACAATCTGACAGAGTAGAAAAGAAAGTTTATTTATACTATTAATAGATACCTACTTACCGGAAAAATATACTTAACTCAAACTTGTTAGGAATACATTCATTATCAAATGTAATTAATAAGTTACATATCTATTTAGTTGTATAAACATTTTTGAAATGAATTTAGTACTTGTTCTCTTGAACATTCTGAAGGCATAGTTTTCTATTAAAATATAATTTTTGCTAAAATTGTTAAAAATTAAAATATAATTTGATTTTACTAAGATTTTTTATTTCACGTCCATAAAACACCCATTTAAGAATTGCAAATAACTATTAAAATACTTAAAATTCTTCCTTTCTTTAAAATACAAAGTGATCAAGAATGAATTAATCTGTTGGCAATCCTGACTTTAATTTTTAATTGTCCAGCAAAATGGTATCCGATTGCAGTGTTACAGGTCATTAACAAATATATGTACTTTCAAATCTGTTGCCAACTTACACAGTCCTAAATGATCACGCTGTATTAAAAAAATTATACAAGATTTACTTGAAATTGTTTGCAAGTATTCAGGGTGTTTCAGAAACAGAGAAGAAATAAATTACTATACAAATGTTTAATTTTTTTATTAGACTTTTTATGTTTTGCCCACATATGTATAGAGAGCACTAGCAGGTAACTACTGATAAAATTTTGTCATTAGTGCTTTAATTTGTCTGTTAATTGCACTGACCTTTTCACGTACTCATTTTTTTAAATACGAGAAAACGTTTAACAATTCACTTTTCCCTTACTTTTTTGCGTATATTTTAAGGTTAAGAATTTTCGCTTTTTCTTTCAGTATTCATTATTTTTGAAGTCTAAAATGATAAGCACCTTTGAATAAATATTTATAAGATAACGAGATAGTTTAATCTTAGTGTTACAAAAACATTCATGTTATTAAAGAACGCAATTAGCCTAATTCGCTCAAACACGTTTTATAATAGGCTCTCGATGAAATCATGAAAGAAAAACGGGAAAAGTAAAAAATAAAATTACATTGCTAATTCACCTTTTATCAATAAATTTTTTAATTAATTTTTATTATCAATGTTTTTCTTCACGTTGCCATTATTAAAACATTTCAATTACAGTTAGTCACTACACTTAAAGCCAAATTTTTAATAAATCCAAATCGGTGAAATCATTCACAACAACAATACATCATATACTCGTAATCTTCACATAAATCATAAGTATTCAGAGGACAATCCACGAAAGCTCCACACTTGACAGGTAGCACGTCTGCAACAAAATTCATTTATTCACAGCCGATCCACCTACTCATCCCATCACACTTACCAAAAAATCTAGCACATCCGCAACAATAGCCGTGAATGATGGCCGGGTCGTCGTCACAGTAATGCGGGGGACAACCAGTGCAGCGTGGGCCTAAGCCCAAAAATGGGATGTGGACTGAAATTGAAAATAATTGAAAATATCAATCATTGAAGATTTTATCCGAATAATATTTACTTCTTCGAGATGATCGCGAAATTGGAGCGTTGGCTAATGCCACGCTTAGGATGTAACAACTGGATAAGATAAATAAAAGTATTTTTGTTAAGGATGCCATTGTTGAACTAGACGGGAAACTTGTCTGGACACAGTTTTAAATGGGTCTGTTATCAAAAAAGTTGTTAAAAACGCATCTACTGTCTGGAGGCTTTACTAATGGATTTTTTTTACCAGAGATTACCAACGTAGACAAGTTAATTCTGGTAATGGGTTGTTTATTCAAATTTTAAAATTGATATTTAAAATGAAATAATTAAAACAGACTAGTAAAAGACTTATGTTATGTATACAGGATGTATACAAAATGACGCAAATGAAGTTCTTTGATGGTATGGTGTGAAAAATTTTCCAAGGAACCTTTAAAAATTTATTAAAAAATCTGTTGTTACATTCTACAAGTTTATTTTCAATTAATTTGCAGTTACGTTGATGTGAAAGAGTAAAAGATTTTGGGTTCTTTGAAGTTATATCGCCAATTAAAAAAATTTTAAGAAAGAAAAACAGTAATTTCTAATTTTACTTCTTCATACTGGTAAGAATGGTTGAGAAGGAATTTTTAAATTGTTTTTTAGAGTTTGTTGGAACATTTTTTGTAAGTAGGTAGCTTACTTATAAGCTTATGCGCTATTTTATATACAAATATATTTTATATTTGAAACGTAATTTTTGATTTTGTTAAAAAATTTAGAAAAATTAGTCCGTATAATCAGTCAATAATAGAAATACATGGTCGCAAACAAAATTTTTGCCTTCGGTTCAGGACTATATTTGGATTAGTTGGGAGGTAAACATAAGTACTAATAGTCTTTGATCATCTGAGATGAGTAAAGTCCAGGAGAGCATTGTTTTATGAATTTTTGCTTGTAAACGTTCCGTGTTACAAAAAAAATATTCAGTAGCAATTAAATTGAATTATAGGTAGTCAACCAGCAATACACACGTGTAAAATTTGTATAGTCTAAGGCGTTTGACGTTTCCGTCAGATGTCAAAAATTTCAAACGTCATAATCAATACAAAAGTATTTGAAATCAATTTATATAATTTTAGTCTAACAAAATAGTTAAATAAAGATGGGGTTTCTTACAGTTTTGAAGAAAATGAAGCAAAAAGAAAAAGAAATGCGAATTTTAATGTTGTATCCTTTTAAAAACATTTACTCATTCTAACCTCAAAGAACTAATTTTCGTTTTAAACATAACACCCCAAAGTTTTTCTTAATTATTTAAATTAGGGGCTTAGATAACGCTGGAAAAACAACAATTTTGAAAAGGTTTAATGGAGAACCAATTGATACAATTTCACCTACTTTGGGGTTCAATATCAAAACTCTGGAACACCGAGGGTAGGTTTGCTTACCCACCTCCTGAATTTTTTTTACATTGGATATTTCAGTTTTACTTTAAATTTGTGGGATGTCGGGGGTCAAAAATCACTACGTTCTTATTGGAGAAATTACTTTGAATGCACAGATGGTCTTATTTGGGTGGTGGATAGTGCTGATAAAAGACGTCTTGAGGATTGTAGGGTTGAGTTACATACTTTATTACAAGAAGAGGTACATACTTTTGTATGAAATAAGCTTGATCTAATATTTTTATTAGAGGTTAGCTGGAGCAACGCTTCTAGTTTTTGCAAACAAACAAGACTTGCCAGGGGCTTGCACCCCTGACGAGTTGCGAGAAATTCTTGGATTAGATGAAATCAAAACTCATCACTGGCAAATAGCGAAATGTAGCGCAGTTACTGGTGAAAATCTTTTAAAAGGAATGGATTGGATGATCGACGATATTGCAGCGAGGATTTTTACTTTGGATTAATTTATTTTTTATAAAATATTTTTTGTACTATATGTAATAAAAAATGTAAAACGTTAATAATGTAGTTTGTATGGCGCACCCATTTGCGCCAAAGTCCGTTGAATCCACTCCAAATGTTTCAAAAAACGCACTTCAATCCAACAAGGCACATCAGTAATAGCAACCCCATTGCCCCAACCCTCCACAAAACTAATTCGAACGATGCACACTTTAGCAAAGTTGTAAACAGCCTCCCAACCTTTTTCCACTTCCACAGCTAACATTTTATGAAATTCATCATCCCGAAAAAGTTTCATGTGTTTGCACCGAAACGGCGCCAACTTACAAATAGTACCACCCGAATAGTTTTTAAGTCGATTGTAAAATCTCGAGTTGACGTAGAGTTCTGAGTCGGACCACAACTGCACGTAAATTTGCCCCTTAACATAGTGCAAAGTAATCCCTTTTCCGATCTGTTGTCTGGCGTTTTTCACAGACCAATCCCGACCCCCATTTTCCATTGGAAATAAGTTAAGTCTATCATTTCGTAGCGGCCCATCTTGCAAACAGTGCACCCAAATTGAGAGTCCTTGACAAGAAAACGCGTTTCCAACTCGGGACTCCTTCTCGTAGTAACTAATTGTGGCCCATTTTGGTGATGCCACAACTGGTTCTAACGGTGGAAGCAGTCGTTGTTTTCGGTAATGGCATGGATTGAGACAAATCTCCATTTGGTGGGCCGCAAAACAGAAGTTTCGGGGTTGCAGTTCAAAGATTATATGAGATAGACTGCTTCGCACATGAGACCATCGCCAAACTTGGCCGTGGATTACTTGGAAGGGGCGAGAATCCGAAGGGGGTAGTCTTCGAGACACGGTTATGCATTTATGAGGGTTGTAAACGGACAAGTCGGCTTTGTTTTGTAACTGGTCGAGGAGTTTGTAGAGATGATTTTCGATAATGGAGTGTTCATCACCGAGACGACATGAAATTTCATGGTAAACGCAAGAAGCTGCGGTTGAGTTTAGTGGTGATGGCTTCGCAGCGGCACACATGGCTATATGTGAAAGCAATGCTTTTCCTGAGAAAAAAATGTTAAATTTAAATTATTACCTATTTTTCCTATGTAGTGTTTGTATTATTTTGTATTCATAAGTATTTATAAAGTTATCGAAACTTACTAAAAGGCAACACTGAAGAAGATATTTTACGCACACGTTGCACACCAACTGAAGGCAAACCCTAATTTGAAAGCATTTCACCTTTTATCTAAATTTTACCTGACTTTCATATTTACAAGAGTGTTAACCCTGAGGGGGAAGTAATTAGGGGTGATATTTACTCGCCTATACTGACTACTTTCTATTTAAATGTTTTTTTTAATTTTTAATTATCTACAATAATCTACATTTTTTTTGTAATCTATTAATATATTTATCCTTTCGTTTAATATACAATGAGTGGCAAAATTATAGAATAATCTTATTAAAACTGAAAATACACAATTTTCAATTTGATGTAAAATTTTACACTTTTTGGTATTTGAGTAATGACGCAATCGACATTTTTTAAAAATGAAAGGTCTTAACTTTTTTAGCCAATTGCATAAATCTTTTTAGTTGGGAATTTTATATTTTTTAAAAAGAAAACTGACTTGTTCGGTTTTAATAGTAAATAAGATTATTCCATAATTTGTATGTATAAAAAGTGAAGTAAGTAATTCTGCAAAATCTAACAGTCCACGTGAATGTAAAAGAAATTGTTAAGTTAATTACACTGCATAACAAATTTAAAACTTTTTTACTTGTGTCCTTTAAATAAAAAATGGTTTTTATGACCTCTGTTTTGTTGTATCACATAAGTTTATTAAAATAACATAAGCAACTTTTGACATTTTTATTATTTTAAGAATTAGGTACAATTGATCTTACAATTTAAAAGTACGTAATAAAGTTTTACATACTGATNTTACATCTTTTGATGTTTCTCTTATTAAAAATCAATAATATTTGGTTGCTCAAATTCCATTTTTCTTCTTTATTTTTTTTTCTAATATAAACAAATAGTTCATATTCGTAATCAGCGCAATCAAAAATAATACAATATTTGAAAATTTTACAATAGACTAAACTCGTGTTGTGTAGGTAATAATTATTATTTCTAGTGTCCTTCAACTCTCTAAATGATTTTTGCTGATTACCACCTAATCGTTCACGCCTTGTTTCATTTCCTTTATTACTGTTTACCCTGGATTGTAGTTTCCAACAAGTAGATTAGTTAGTGGTGTGCGATCAACATGACTCTTAAACTATCACTTAAAGATATTGTTTTTATTAGCCCTCTCTTCAAATATTTGAATATCTTTTTCATCACGCCTTGGTATGATTTTCGAAAGAACCAAAAATATTACTCCAGTTTCGCTAAATATTACGCGTGTTTGTTAATTTTATTGAAGATTCTTTGGATTATTTACTGGCTTCAAAACGATGGATTAAAGTCTGTTTATGAAAGATTTCATTGTTCCGAAAAAATCTTAATGTTTACCATTTATACAAACCTGACCATTTTAACGACATTGACAATATTCAAATCTGCATTTTGTGATTTTGACAAGTGGCGGACTTTATTTACAAACTTCCAGTACATCGACATAAATTTGCAAAACAAAGGAAAAAAAGAAACGAAGATGATGAAAAATTTTTATTTTCGTTTTGTGGTAAAGCAAGTTATGTTTATTTGTTCTGCAATTTATGGAATTCAAGTTTTTGGTACTTTGCAACGAACATCGTTTTTAAAAACCTTTTTCAATAGTTGCTTGATGGATGTATACTACGAATTTTTATTAATTAGTTTACTGAACATTTTAGTCAGAAGTTTTAAATGTAGATATAAGGATTTGAACCAGAGGCTTGAAACCGTTTGTAATCAATCAAAAAGTGTTGAAGAATTAATGAACATAGTACGCTATTATCGTATTCTTGGAGATACAGTTGAAGTTTTCAACAGTCTTTTCGGCTATCAGATAATTCTGATAATCTTCGATTGCTGTCTAGAAACTGTGGGTGCATTAAACTCGGCTTTTTTGTACACTGTAAATAGACAAGGCCAATTTAATATTGAATTGTTTCTTTGCAATATTTCATTACTGACCATAATACCAGTAAGTTGAATTTCACGTAATTATTTTTTAAATATTAGCCACGTTTTTAATTTTAGTATTTTATCGCAATGATTGTTTTGAGCATGGAATCGACAACTCAGGAAGCTAAAAAATTTACTTATTTGTGTTGGAAATTTCAAGAAAATTTCATGCAAGACTCCAAAGAACTTGAAGCTTTGGTAAAGATCGGCAGTTCTTCAGGACAATATTTTCGAGGTTTTAACGGCGCTGGATTTTTTAATATATCAAAAAATCTTGTATTTAGCCTTATCAGTAACATTGCAACTTACTTTATTATAACAATACAATTAAACAGCAGCGAAAGCGAACCAAATCAATAAGCGCTATGTATTATTATTTTACTTAGCTTAATTTAAATACAAGAACAATGTTTTGTCAATAAACAATCTATTGTTTATTTAATAACAACTAAGTGTTTCTTTATGTCATTATTTCACGTAGAGAACCTATTTACTAGAACTGCAGAATATAAAGAGTTAACATGAGCTTGAAAGTTGAAGCACCAAAAGATATAAAATTTATACGTCACTACTCTGTATACCTAAATATATTTCTTATTGCGCCTTGGTATGTTTTTAGTACGAATAGTATTTATAATCCATATTTAGCAAAATTTTATGGCTCGTTTTTGATTTTAATTAAGATATTACTTATTTTACATGCTAGTAGAGACGAAGAACTGCTACATTTTTTTTCACAAGAGCTATTTATTTCAGAAAAATTTATTGTAGTTTTTTTAGTCACAAATTTAGCTGTACTCTATATCTACTCAGTTATAAATTCAGTTTTCTTGGACAACAGATGGAAAAAATTGTTCAAAAATTTGAATTGGGTAGACAAAACTTTAGAAAACGATGACTCTAAAGAACACTATTTACCTAAACGATTTCTTTATTTATTTATAATAAAGCACATTATTTTTGTTGGAATTTTGGCCTACGAGTTATATATTTGGACCACTTTTACGAACCTACCGCTTTATAAAGTTTTTTGGCTAACTGGTTACGAAGATGTGTATTTTGAATTTTTATTGGTAATGTTCATGGCTGCGTTAATTAGAAGTTTTGAAGTCAGATATAAAGACTTGAATAAAAAAATATTGCAAGTATCTTCGACTTTAAAATTAAAACAGGAACTAAAGCATATTATGCAAATTTATCGAATCCTGGGGCAAAATATTCAAATTTTTAACGAGGTATTTGGTTACCCGATTGTATTCATGTTATTTCATTATGGAATAGCATGTGTTAGTTGTTTAAATTTTATAATTGTTTATATTATAATTGGAATCCAGGAACTGCCTTTATTTCATCATATGTTGCCTGCTAATTTAGGTTTCATGATATTGATACTCGTAAGCAAGAGTTTTTTTGGAAAATTTGGAACTAAGATTTACATTGTTTTAGATTAATTTTGTAACACTGTTATCATCCATAAATTCAACTACAGCTGAAGCAAAAAAATTTCTCAGTTTGTGTTATAGAATTCGAGAAGAATTTCTAGATGATTCAGTTTATCTGCAAGCTTTAGATCGGTTAATAGACCATTCGAAATATTTTGTTCAAGAATTTAACACTAATGGATGTTTCACTCTAAATAAAGGCATACTTTTTAGTCTTGTAGCAAACATTTCAACATATTTAATTATAACTATACAACTAAACGAAAGTCAATATAAAAATTCTAGTGCGTCCGATCAGAATTGTTCATCATTTTAGAAACAAAATGTTTATTAAGTATTATAGTGTTAAAACCCCATTACTGAAAAATTAATATTGTAAACAATATTGAGCTTTTTTTATAAGTTATAGGTATTAAGTCAATATCTTGGTCAACATAATACACAATAACATTTATTAGTTAATTAATTAAAATGTAGATACAATAACAATATTTTGTCAATAGAAAATGAAATATAAACAATCCATTTGTCATTTAATAATTACAAGTGAGTGTGTCTATATTATTACTTTTAATGTCCCTTATCCACTATAATTACTGACAACACAAAATATGGTTAAAATGAGCGTAACTTTAGCAAAAGATATAAATTTTATAAGTCATTACTGCATCTGTCTAAATATATTTCTCGTGGTACCTTGGTATGATTTCAAGAAGAATAGTTTTTACCATCCGTACTTGGCAAAACTTTATGCAGCCTGTTTGATTTTAATAAGAGTATCACTTATTGTATCCACTTGCACTGATCAAAAATTAATACAGCTTATGAGTGAAAATCTAGTTATTTCCCAAAAATTTATCATGGTGTTTTTAATTACAAATTTATTCGTTCTCAATTTGTACATAATTGTAAATTCTGCTTTTTTGGACCCCAGCAGATGGATAAACTTGTTCAAAAATTTATTCTTGGTGGACAAAATTTTAGCGAACAACGAAAAAAAAGCACATTATTTATCGAAGCGTTTTCTCTGTGTGTTTCTAATTAAACACATTGCTTTCATGGGCAGTGTAGGATTCGAAGTACATATTTGGACTACTTTTATCGGAATACCGTTTTATAGAGTTTTTTGTCTAACTGGTTACGTGGATTTGTTCTTTGAATTCTTTTTGATAATGTTCATGGAGGCGTTACTCAAAAGTTTTGAAGTGAGGTATAAAGATTTGAATAAAAAATTGATGCAAATTTCTTCGAATCAAAAAATGCAACAAGAAGTAAAGAAAATTATGAAAATTTACCGAATCTTGGGTGAAAATGTTCAAATTTTTAACGAGTTGTTTGGCTATCCCATTCTGTTTATGTTGTTTCATTTTGGAGTGGCTTGTGTTAGTTGTTTAAATTTTATCTTTGTTTATGGAGTAATGACGACACTACCGGGAGTGAATTTATTTCATATGCTAATTGGTAACGTTTGT